GGGGCATGGTTAAGACTGAATCAGTCACTGTGGAGTGCTGAAAACTCTCTTTGGGGCTGAAAGGAACACATCTAGGAACCCAGCTAGTTCATAAACTCTGGCTTAAAGCCAGGGCCCTGGTGCTCACCTCACACAGGAGCAGCAAAACTTCATGTAAGTTAAGCACTAAGGTTAGCTGTAATGGAACCAGCTGTCTTAAACCAAGCTGCAGATTAGGCTCACCTAAGGAGCTTTTAAACATTATATTGCGGACTTTTGGTTTTGAAATAGTGTTAGAAAATGTTGCAACAGTACTATAAAATTCCTGGGTAGCCTGAATCCAGTTTCTTCTAATGTTAATATTTGCATCAGTGTGATGCAATTATCAAAACTGAGAAATTAAACTGGTGGACAGAAGCCCTATTTCCCCTTCAGCTGGGGCTGCTGCCTCAGAATAACTTGCTCTGAATCTAATTCTGGCAGGCCCAGAAGACTTTCAGTCTGTAGCATTCCTGACAATTCATTTTCTGTCAGGCTAACACAAGTAGTCTTTGTTGAGCACAATAAAATGGCGGCAGTGACTTTAACATAGTAACAGGTTATAGCAAAATGAAGACAGATATCACCAGACAGCACTTAAATTCCAGCAGCATGGTGCTGAGATCCAATCCAGGACACCACTCTGCCTGGTTGTCATGTTTCCTTAAGCGCCTGTTGACTGTGAAAATGCCCTTGTTTTGATGACCTTGAAAGTATTGAGGAGTACTGCACAAAAGGAAGTCACTATGGCCAGCCCACACTTATGTGCTGGAGAGCATTAAACCACACTTCCTCGAGGGTATGACTGTGATGTGGCCCAGTGCTTGTCCTCATTTGTGGTCATCATCCAGAAGCCCTGGAAGAACCCTACTCAAGTGACAGTTCTAGGAATCATTGACTTGAGGGAGCTTCCTCAGATTCTTATTCAGGTTCACTATTAACTCTGGAGTTTTTCATCAGTCTTTTCCTTATATATCATAGAAAAGTGTGTGGTTAAGTTATGGTATGTTCATATTAAAATGCACTGAACACTGAATAAAAGGGAGAAAGGAAAGGAGGGAAGGAAGAAATAGGGAAAGAAGGCAGAAGGAAGAAAGGAATGAAAGAAGGAATGAGGGAGGGAGGAAATAGCTTAACCAAACTATAGGCTTTATTCACATTTCACCAGTTTTCTACCAATATCTTTATCTCCTCCAGTTACCAATTCTAGATCCTTTTGCATTTACTTATCTTGTTTCCTTAAAGTCCTCCTGTGTGACTATTTCTCTTATCTTCCCTCATCACTTATAACTTCAGGACTTCCGGGTTAAAGCGCAGCACGACAAGTCAGCCAGAGCAGCTTCAGTGTGGGTTCTATCCCCAGCCCCGGAGGTGAGGTGACGCACTTGGCTCGGCAGACCTCTCCTGACCAGCACACTGTTTCCCTCAGCAGTGTACTTCATTGATCTGCCTGTTCTGCTCCCCACTCTGTCTCTGGTGAATCCTCTCACTGCCCCTGCACCTCTGGCCTGTACCCCAGTTCTGAAGCATTCCGGATATTATTTAGTAAGATGTCCCTCATTTGAGGTTTGTCTGATATTTTTCCATGATAGTCTGAAGTTAGGTGTTACTGGGAAGGAGACCACGGAAGTGATAAGTTTTACCCAACATGTCTTAGCAAGAGGTACATGATGTCAAATATCTTATTACTAGTGGTGTTGCTCACTTGGTTAAGATGGTGTCTACTGAGTGGACTCATTGTAAAGTTATTATTTTTCCTTTTGTCATTAATAAATATCATGTAGGAAATCTTTGTACAAATAACCTACTTCTCATCTTTTTCCCACTGATGTTCTACTGATTCATACATCTTGGTGCAGCATCACTGTGCTATTATAAATTGGCATTCTAGTCCTCCATTCTTTAAGATTTATTAATTAGAATTTTTCTGTAAAGAAGCATTGTTTCTCCTCCCTCTTCTACTTATTTATTCAGTTACTTATTGAAATTATCACAGACTCACAGATGTTTATTTCATTTAATGGGTTTGATAACCCATACTACCATTACATATTTTGACACTCAAACCTAAGTTAGTTAAGAGTGTCCATGCTGGGACCCTCTCTAAATCAGTTAAGCCCGATGGAGTACTGTCAGTGGTATGCTCTGAAGTTCCCTGTGTGCACTAGATGATAGTTCTTTTTACTCTCCTACATGCTTCTTCTGTTAAAAAAAAAAAATGTGTGTGTATATATATATCCTTATTCACAAATGTTGTTCTGCAACATTTCTTCCCTCCCCTCCCTAGTTCTGGGGTACTGGTTCTGTCATTATCATGCCCCCCACAACGCTCCCTGCCACACTCACTACCAAGATGCCCTGCCAAACATAAAGTTGGGTGCCAGTACCCTCCCTTTAACAACAGCCTCCTCATGCAGAAACTCTACTTAATGCTCATTGTTCCATTAACTGGGGTCAGCTGGAGGGGAAAAAGAGCTATAGCAGCCTTTAGAAAGTCAGGTTTGAGAAAAGACCCTAAGGAAATATGAACTTAAGCTGGGAAGGGCTTTCTGAATAAACAGTTGATTTCAGGCTTACGGCCAGGAAGACTGGTCCTGCAATTGCTCATCTCTGCCTTCTCAAGTCCCACCAAGCATTTTCTTGTCATTTGGGCAGTCTTAAAGTGTGGAAACAAGCCCCACTTACTTGGACACTGTTGAAATCATAATAACCAAATATGTAAATTTAATTCTCCCTTTAGGTGATCAATGCAGAGTCAGATAAGTTTTCATTCAAAGAGATGGCCTTCCTGAATAAGGAGATTGATCCTGTAGCATCCTTTAGCTGGTTTTCAATTACCCTCCGTCCTAGGTGTCAAATCAATCTCATGATATTTTTAGAAACCTAATTGTTTCTTTAGACAGATTGATGCCAATAATATGTCCAAAACTTAGAAGGAACAGATTTAAAACCTTATTCATGCTGGAATAAAAGCTTAACCCAAAATATGCCTTGCTAACATGAATTTAATAAGGTTCCCCAGATGATGCATATGAATCTGAGATTTGTATCATAAGTTTCTGTTTTCCTTTGCTTTTTTTCCTTCACAGTGGTCAGTTCCAACTTGTATTTTTCCTAGCAAGTATTTTTGTGCATTGCAGACACCTCCTATTAAAATTTTGAGGGAGCTCCAATGTCTAGGGTTGAAAGATAAGTGAAATCTATAAAAAACGAGACAGGACAGCATCCAGTATCTCACTATAGAACAAGAGCTACTTCTGAGAGACAGCATAACAGAGATGCAAAGTGTTAATTCAGTCCCACAGCCAGCCCAGGATGAGGAATGTTTAAATGCTGCATGACAAAAAATAAATCTCTCTTCCTGGAAGAACTTTAACCCAAGAAGAGAAGCAGCTCAAAGGTTTATTGTTGTCAGAGCCACAAACTTGACACCCCTCTTGATAAAAGACTTCGATCCCTGACCCCAGTAAAGTTGCTACTCTAAAAGCCATTTGTGTATTGATTTCCTCTAAGAAAACGCAGAGGTGTCTAACAGGATGAGCCTCTTTGGGAAACCAAGCTACTGTACTTAGAATAGAGCCTAGTGACCAAACAGGAGACCCCAGGACAGGTGCTGAAAGTTGGTTTGCAGGAATAAGGCAGCCTAGGTCTTTTGAATGAACTAAGAAGAAACTGACTTATGGAGAACTTGGTCTCTGCAATGGGCTAGTTGGTTAATGTTACTTAAGGTGGAAAGGTTTAATCTTCTGGGACATCTTGATTAATCATTTCATCTAGACATCAAAACAGAAGGGGTGGAGTTGACTGACCTAGAATGGAAATTATTTTGAGACCAGGGCTCTCCAGGATAATGTACAAGGACACCTATCCACCCATATATGCTAATCCTTTGCATACGACCTTAAAAGGAGTCCATGGTTCTTGTTTGAGGTAAAAATGGAGATATGGTGACAGAAAAGTATTAGAACTGGCTATTGCACAGCAGGATTTAGGTATACAGTGCTATAAGAAAAGAAAGGGAGATAGCTTTCTCCCATCAGCTCAAACTAGGTTTGTCAGCTTTCCATAGTGGGTGGAGAAATCCTCTTTAGAGGCTTGCTATTTCACTGCTAATTCTATATAAATTTATTTTAACAACAGAAGTTGGAAAGTTGTTTATTGAGCATCTACTAGGAATGAGACAAAAGCCTGCCCTCGTGACCAGACAGTAAGCAAGTAAAACAATAATAGCAATTTCAGAGAATAATTAAAGCTTTCAAGAAAATAAATCCAAGTGAGAGAGAGTGAAGAGGATGGACATTATTAGGTCAGTCCTCTCTGGATGAGAATCCATTTGAGTTGATCCCCAGTTATAAGAAGGAGTGAACACGTGGCAGATTATTCCAGTCAGGTGACTGGCCATAAGCACCAATCTTCAAGGTAGGGGCAAGCGTAGGCACCCTTACGCTCTGCCCCAATCTTCAAGATAGGCAGAGTTGACCACCAGAGATATCAGCTTGGCTGGAACATAGCTGGCAAACCTAGGTGGGCTAGGAGAGGGCTCTGGATGGACCCAAGTATATAAGACCTCTAGGTTTGCTTGGAGTATAACTGGCTTCTGGACAATTTGAGGGCATTGAAATTGGTAATAAAAAAAAAAAAAAGATCCATTTTTTGTTTTTCAAATATCTATAGCTGCTTGTGAGAAACTGCCCATCTGAGAGCAAGAATAAAAACAAAAACTAGTTGGGGCTTAGTAATACATGTAGTTTCTAAATCCCAAGGACCTAACTATCCTGCAACACACTTTCAGCCTATTTGATGTTGATGCCCATTGTATTTATTTCAAACCTCAGAAACTCTCCTCTTGCTTATTGCTTAATTGTCAGGGGGGAAAATGTTGAAATTTGTTTAACTTGAAAGTATGCAGTCTCAAATGACATCTGACTTTAATCAAAGAAATGTTTTTTTCCTTTTTCGGTTATTTTGTTTTTCCCCTGCAGGGACCCCAGTCACCCTTCAGTACCTTATCACTATTATGAACCCTACGGCCCTGATGAATGTACAATGTATCTCTCCCATGAACGAGGACGGAAGGGGAGTCACCACCGCTTTATCACAGAGAAACGAGTCTTTAAGAACTGGGCAAGGACATTCAATATTCACTTTTTTCAGCCAGACTGGAAACCAGAACCCCTTGCTATAAGTCATCCTGAGAATAAACCTGTGTTCTGAGAAATGAGTGTGCTGGACTGAAACCCCCAAGTGCCGGGCATATCAGACATGTGGGCGCTGGGATTGTTGGGCCAACAGACAAAAAAGGAGAACAGAACTGGAGGCAGCAAAGTGCCTCCCTCCTCAGGATGTTCAGTGTACAGATGCCTAAGAGGCAGGACTATGAAACAGTGCACTTGGTTCATGAGGGAAAGTGCCAGAATGAATACATCGTAATGAGTCTTGCCCCTTCCAGAAGGAATGATCATAGGATCTGGAGACTTATTTCAGTGATGCTGCCATAGCTAAAAACATTTTGGATCTCTTTAAGTATTGCCTTCAAAACTAAAACACAAATAACTTTACAATAATGGTTGTATTCATTTATAGAAACATCACGTCAAAAGACATTTTTCTATCAAGTCTTATCCTAACCTGATCTATAACCCTGTCATCTGTTGGATTCTGTATGTGTGATTTGTAAACAAAACTGCTTGAAAGGACAGACCTGATTTCTGAAGAGCACATCATCACTGACTTTCATACAGCAAATGCCCAATATTTATTTATTGAGAGTTTTTTAGTGTACTCTAGGCCAGTATTTTTATAGATTATGATTATGTGGTGATTTAGCCTTCCTAGCTCTTTAATCCTGAATGATGGTTGGAAAAGGCCTAGAATCAGGTCAATGAGTTGCTGTGTTCACCATGCTCATAGTAGCATGCAATTGTATTTGCCTTGGAAATGTTGTTACGTTTGTTGAAGCCTCAGCCTTCAGGAATAGCTATATGATATTTTCTAATGTGCAGAAATACCCTAAATGACAAAATTGAAGACCAAAAACTGCGTCATTAAAATGAACAGATACCAACAAAAGAAAATGCAGAACAGTTGTCTTGAGTAATGATGGATGTAGGTCACGTCACTTAATCCCTAGCTTCCTCTTCTGCAGAATGACGTCACTTCCCTAAATGTCCTCTTAAATTTATCTCAAACCTAAAACTCAGAGCCTTTGTGGACCTATTTTATTTGAGGATTGCACACTTGGAATGGTGGGGTACCCAAAGTTCCCGGAGTCTTATTTTAGGGATTTCCCTACTACCTATCTCCAGTCTCTTGCTTTTGAAACATATTACCCACCTTATCCCTTTTGGCTAAAAGGGGAGTAGTCTCGGGTCTTCTGGTCCTTCTTACACCAAATAAGTGGGAGTGTAGGAAGGAAGGAAAACACTTTCATGATGTTTCCTGGCTAAGGAGTTGTCTTTTTGTGGGTCTGTGAAGAGAATACAAGGAGATTCCATCATACAATTCATTTACCCTATGAATGATTCATAGTCATTGCATACATTCACTGTTATTCCCTGGTCTGCAGTAATATGAAGGACCTATTCAGAGGCAAGATCAATTAATATGAAAGATTTCATTTAAGCAAGTAATATTGTTCAAAAACAGTCTTTTAAAAGCTACCAGTGTTTTCTTTGCACATGGCTTACAAGGCATTCGTTTCTCTAATGACAAATTAGAAGGCCACAGCAAATAGCATGTATGGAAGCTGACATTGCTTTACAGAACATGACCTGGCTTGATTAAAGGTTTCTCATATTGCATTTCTTTTCCCTTTCCTTGGTTAGTGTTAAGAGTTCATCCCCTTGCACTAACTAGTGGTATTAGTTATAGAGCACTATTGTTGAAATGCAAATACAATCTAGCTGTTTATATAGCAAAAATAAAATTGATGTTATTGAACTGTGACTGGAAATGTTAAAAGCCAGTACAATTGAAATGCCTGTCCAAATACACTGAAACATTCTTCCAGTGCATCCTCTTAAGCTGCACAGTCACTGAACACACAATTCTTTATAAATATATGAATTTTATATAATTGACTTATAGACCATCTTGACCATCACTTTGAAGCGATGATGCTCAGATGAATGTAGCTCTTTTAGTAAGATTTTTTTTAAAGATTTATTTATTTATGCATACAGAACTGGGGTACAGGCCAGAGGTACAGGGGCAGTGAGAGGATTCACCAGAGACAGAGTGGGGAGCAGAACAGGCGACTGACAAGTACACAGCTGAGGGGAGCAGCGGGCGGGTCAGGAGAGGTCTGCCGCGCCATGTGGGTCACCTCGGGGAGGGGATGGAACTCTTGTTGAAGTGGTTTTAGCTTCTCAGTGCTGTGCTTTAACCCACTGTGCCACCAGGGAGGGTCTCTTATAGTAAGTTTTATAATAATTTGGAGAGGCATACTTGGGACATGAAAGATGCAGCTCTATTAGTTAACCTTACAATATCTCAAATGCCTGTGTTATCTTCAGGTTTTAAGGGGTTGGTTTTGTTTTTACATTTTGAACTACATGATAGTTCTCTCTTTTTTGGTAATGTTTCCCTCTCAAATACTCAAAAAGAATTCATAAAATTGAATTCTGAAATTCCTGGCTTCACAAAGAAATATTTTAAATCTAGGATAGATGCATATGTGCATTTCTATTTTTTAAAGGATGGCACATATACGTACAAAATTACTTGGACAATGGTTTTATTGCATTTAAAGAAAACGACTGATGCATTGTGCTGATGGACCTGGTTGTGGGAAACTGAGTTCTTATCTTGTCACAATCATTTCATGACCATCAGTTTTAATACTATTCAATACCATTAAGCATCAGCCCTGATATACAGACCTCAGTGATTTCAATATCCAGTTGTGTTTGAAACCTTAGTTGTACTCTTTATGTTACACACCTTTCCTTCTCTCCCCAGCTGCGTCATCAACTTCCTCCTAGCTTTTAAGACCACAGTAATACAAAGCCACAGCTGGCTCATCCATGGTGTCTGTTATTGCAACGCAAGAACATTTGGCAGAGACCATTACAATAGATAGCCATTATGGGCAAAGATACAGGAATTCACAAACAAAATCAATCACTCCAAATGGCCCATAAAAAGAGGAATCTTACATTTAATATTCTACAGTAAATATTCACCCAAGAAAACGTACATTAAAAGAACATTAGGAGGTAAATATTCAGTGTGCTGCGTGGGGACTTTGCTGTGTGATTTCCATTACGGTTAATGGGTGTTTGGTAACTAAGTCCCTGTGCTTCACTAACCTTAGGATGTGCTCCTAAGGGCTAGACATAAAACCGGAGCAATTCAGGGACTTCCAAGGTTCTATGATTTCAGAGTTCAAGCTTTTCTTCCAAAAATACATGAAAACAAAACACAAAATACTATACTTAAAAGAGAAATATGTGTGCGATCTCTTGGTATCCTTAGGTTACTACCAGAAATGCTATAGATTCCAAACAACACCTCTCTTACCTTTGCTTTCTGAAATTTTCTGAATTATTAACCTATTTAAATTACTTTATGAAATGTAAACTTCCCTCAAAACCAAAACACTTGATTTGGAAGCTAATTGAATGCTAGGTAAATGTGGAAGGAAAAAATGGAAATTTTGTTAGGATCAAGAAAATATTATTTAAATGTTTATGCACATACAATGCCTGGCCAAATGTTTGCCCTTTGACAGGCATTTCCTTTAGGTGCAATGGAATCCAGAGTATTCCACTGAAGTGATGATGCTAATTATTAGAGACTGACTCTTGGGGTATCTCTCCCCTGCCCCTAGTTAGGAGGTAATGCTAACACCTCAATATAGTTTCAATCCTGACACAATGATTTCCCCCATTCTCACTGCTTCTTTCTTGACCCTGACTCCATCTTCGTGCCATCATTCTCTCCTGATTATCTTCCTTTGTCTATAGTGCTCCTAAAACAGCAGTCTTTTGGGATTAAGGTTTTCTTTGTATTTTAAATTTACAAACCTACCTGAGAAATGGATTTGGGGTGGGTTCTGCCAGAGCAATGACTGAAATAGGTGGAAGGTCTATATCTGGCTATAGGACAAAGTATTTCAAAAGTACCATCCTGGTTAGCTTGGGGCTAAGATAAGAGAGAAAGGGAGCAGTTCCAGACATGACAGTCTCAGATATACCAGGATAGTGGGTAATTCCATCAGTCACCTCAAAGAGAACTATATTAATACTAAGGTCTGGGAGGGGAGGAATGAGTCAATTACCCAGGTTCTAGCACAAGCTAGAAGATACTTTGGAATGGAAGAGATGAAGAAGTGTCTCCAAGGCTTAAAAAAGAAAAGGAGTAACCCCTCCCTTCTAGCTCACTCATCCCTACCTACTCAGGGTATTTAGCCACCATTATAGAAATGCAAAAAAAAAGGCTGCAATCCTGTTGGTCCTGTTGGTTTGTTTCTACTCGGTGCCCTAATATCATATGCTACCTTGGATTGTCTCTTGTCTTTTTACGTATGTATCCTGTTAGTAGCCTAATTAGATTGTACGCTCTTTGAGACAGGAACTATTTATCCTTTGTCTTTGTAGCCCTATGCCTAGTACAGTGCCTTGCACACAATAGGCGCTCAATAAATGTCTGTTGTTGATGAAGACCTCTAATGTTGAACCATTGGATTAGTAATTGGTGTATATTCTTCCATGTAAGAAGTACATGAGCTAGATAGGTAATGATATAGTTAATTTAGGTAGAGTCTATAGAGTCAGTTCTTAAAACTATTACATTTTCAATCAATAGCTGTCATTGTGTTGGGTAAGATAATATTGCTGAATTTATTAGTCTGCAGATGCTGACTACTTCACACACAGACAAACTATAATTCAGTAACTTTGTGTTCTTGCTGTTAGCAAGCTGCCCTTAAAACAAATCAAATTTAACTTAATATTAACTAATGTAATACCATAGGTAGAAAGGTAGCTTGCACTCTGACTTCTGTGGTTAAATAGAAAAGGGAGGCTAAAATGAGATGAGTTAAAAGCCTGCCTTAAACTTGAAAGCTTCCAAAAGCTGCTGGAAATCCATCTGGTGGTAACTAAGGATATAAAAAAGCTAAGCATACATTTATCTTAAAAATGAAGCAAACCAAAATAAAAGCCTTTTGTTTCCATGAAGCAGATCCAAAATGAGGGGGAAGGAGAATTCTTGGGAACAGGTATCCTCAGCTCCAGCATCCCAGATTCCTGTGTCACTACCTGGCCAGCACATGGAAAGGTGTCTTTTATCCCTTAGCTACAGAAAGGACAGTAGACATGAAATCTGTGAAGGTGAGTTACCCACTGATGGGCACCTCGGCAAGGAACCATTGTTACCTCCTTACACATGCGGACACTCTGGATTCCTTTTTTTTTAATTGTTTGCTCTTCCACATTCTTATTTAACTGTATGATCTTGATTTGATTTTATGACGTATTAGACAAGGTTTACAAGCCCTACACTCAATTGAGAAGGTTGCTTATTTCTACAGCTATAGAATTTCAGATTTTTCTGCATTTATAAATATTTTATTATAGTTACATCTTATTTAATAAAACATTAAAAAAAAAGCATTTTAACATGATTTCAAGCAGAATCCTAACAGGGATGTTAAGAGAAATCCAGTCTATGCCATGTTTAATCCACTTAAGAGAAAGTGTTTGCTCTCTACATAAATGATTTCAAGGGTTAACAGCTTTTCCTTTTTACCTGTGACTAGTTCTTTCATTTAAAAGCCAAGAACAGGAAGTCCATGCAAGTGTATCATATTTTTTACAATTATATTTTATCTACCGACTAGCACCTGGGTGATTTGCACAATGTCATTTGCATTATGATATAGTATTTCATAATAACCCTGTTATCCCAATGTGCAAGTAAGCAAGCTGAAACTATGCATGTAAGTGCTTCACATGCATAAATGCAGTTTGTCCTTTCAATAGCAATAACTAGGGTTTGTAAATAGGTTATTTTATCATTCCCCTTTTACCGACATGAAGACTGAGGAACAGGGCACTTCAGTAACTTGCCCAAGGTCATGTAGCTAGAAAGCAGAGAAGTCTGCCAATAAGCAGCACTGTCTCCAGAGTCTCCATCCTTAGCCACCATGTACTTGCTGGTACAAATTTACATTTACAGGTAGCAACTTCTATTAAAATATCAAGGTATTCTGTTAAAACATATTCATATACAGTATATGTCATATTTGATGCAGACCAAATAATCAATGACAAACATGTAAGTCATGAAGCAAACATAAAAAGAATATGACTACTACTTTTGAAGCTATGTGAGTGATCGCTAGTGGTCTTAGATAATTTACCATTCTCTTGTGTTCTAAAGTGTTTTACTTCATACAAATATATCAATAAGTCATCCATTGTTCAATTTTATGTTTTAATAAACATCAGACTGTTACATTATGTAGAGTCTTCTAAAACTTGCTTTCTTCCAAGATATATAGATAGATAGATAGATAATATATATATATATATATGCAATCATTCTTTGCATGCTGCTAGCTCATTATCATACTTGCATAATGCCATTGTGTGAATATACTATAATTTATTTTTATCCATTTGACTTCCAGTGAGCCATTTGGTTTGCTGCTAATATATACGATGCCTTATGAACATTACTGGAAATTTCCTTCAGCACATGGGTATAAGAATTTTCATATAGAATATATACCTTGGAATAAATTGCTGGGCTAGAGAGTAGAATTGTTCACTTGTGCATCGTAATGCCAGGTTGTTTTCCAAAGTGGTTAGATATGCCATATTCCTAAGGTTGCCCACATCCTTGCTAACACTTGGGATTTTCAGACTGTAAATATTTGCCCATCTGGTATATGTAAGTTGCATCTCATTTTGCTCTTAACTTGCATTTATTTCTTGTGAGGTTATATATTTATTCTTTCCCATTAATATTACTATGCCTGTGAAGTAGCTTGTTCATCTTGGCTACCTTTCTTGCTGGGAGATATTTCCATTTATATTTCCTCTTAAAGAATTCTTTATATATTGTAAGTACCTTTCCTTTGTTGATGGTATTTGTTGCAGATCTCATCCAATTTTTTGCTTGTCTTTTTCTCTACGGTGCCTTCAATGAATGGAGGTTTTTAATTTCAAGGTAGTCATGGT